AGCGTGAGGTCCCTACAACCTCGAGGTCCTATTAACCATAGCATTTAATCATTGTTGTGTGCAGTGTTGTCATAGCCATATTGGTCCTAGGATATTAGAGAGACAAGGGAGGTGGGGGATGAGGTAATATCTTGGTAATATCAACCAAGATGAGGTTGAGGATGAGGTAATATCAACCAGTTGTGCATCCATCTTACAGTAGATTTCATCTAGGCCACATTTCCCTAGTTTGCTTATGGGAACGTCATATGGGGACTATCAAACGCCTTAACAACATCAAGATATAGAAAGTTAGGTGGGCTATTTTTAAAAGTCTTTTGAAAGAACCTTGTAATAAGCAGCCTCTACCCCAGTGGTGAGCAACCAGTGAAACTGCGGCCACTGGGAGCTGCGGGCGGCCATGCCTGCAGACGGTCAATGTAAACACTACCTCGTGGCCCGCCAGTGGATTTCCCTGACGGGCTGCGTGTGGCCCGCGGGCCGCAGGTTGCCCACCACTGCTCTACCCTGTCTTTATAGCACTGTCTTGCATCGAACCTGAAGCTGGGAGGCAGCTGGACTTTATAAAGAGCCTTATGTAATGCTCCTAAAAGCAGCCACATGCCTGTCCTGCTCACACAGCACAATTCCACCCATCTGTAGGCTGCCACAGACATCAGAAATGGAAAACGCCTATTAAATCATCCAGACCACCTTGCGCAGGCCAGGCCAGGATTGTGACCTACAGTGTGTTCCCCAGGGCTTTGTCCTGTCTAAGGGCTTGTCTATACCTAACACGCTACAGTGGCACAGATGAAAGCTTCAGTACAGACACTACATACATCAGGAGAACCCCTCCTGTTGGCACAGGTTATCCACCTCCCTGACAGGCAGTAGGTCAACAGAAGAATTTGTTCGTCGACCTAGCACTGTCTACACAGGGACTTAGATGAGCTTAACTATGCCGCTCAGGGGTATGGATTTTTCACATCCCTGACCAACACAGTTAAACTAACCTAATTTTCTAATGTAGATCTGTCCTAAGACAGTGGTTCTCAAACAGTGACCGGAGAAGCATTGATGGTCTGTGGAGCATTTGCTAACGGTCATGTGGTTCTGGCTTCTCTCTTATATGTCTACACTGCAAACAAAAGTTTATTCTTAACTCCGCAAAAAGAAAAGGAGTACTTGTGGCACCTTAGAGACCAACCAATTTATTTGAGCATGAGCTTTCGTGAGCTACAGCTCACTTCATCAGATGTATACCGTGAAAACTGCAGCAGACTTTATATACATATTCTCTGTGTGTATATAAAGTCTGCTGCAGTTTCCACGGTATACATCTGATGAAGTGAGCTGTAGCTCACGAAAGCTCATGCTCAAATAAATTGGTTGGTCTCTAAGGTGCCACAAGTACTCCTTTTCTTTTTGCGAATACAGACTAACACGGCTGTTCCTCTAAAACCTGTTCTTAACTCCGGTTAGCTAACTCAGGTGAAAATAGCAGTGAAGGCAAGACAACCCAGCTTTTAACTCAGGTTAGCAGCATGAGTACAGTCCCAGGCTTTAACACAAGCTGCTATCTCAAGTTAAAAGCAGAGTTGTTATGTCTTCTCTATTTTAACCCACGTTAAGAACAGCCCCCCCCCCTTTTAATTTTTTTTTTGCATTGTAGACATACCCTTGGAACCCATGTGCTGCCAAATTGTGGTAAAAAGAAACTTAACTCCCATTGAACCCTTTCCAAAAACAAGCAATTGCCATAATCACCCTGGGGATGTTAGGAGGGTGACTTGCACGAAGAGAAAGAGAAGTGAGGTGCCCATGAGATAGTGTGAACTACTTCTTCGAAGAAAGGCTATGGAAAAGCTTGAAAGCCCCACGTCTGATACATCCATCATGCATATGTTTTTCTAGCTATTCCACCTGAGTTATTTTTTCTCAGGCTCTGTCTGTCCTTGGGAACAGCTCCCACTCGGCGGTGGGTGTCCTGCAATTGGAGTATGGGCCCCACAAACTGGGGGGGGAAGGAACATCAGAGAATCACCCCCAAGTACAAGCAGAGGGAAACAATGGGGCATGCCCCCAAAATGCAAACAGGGGGCACCAGGGATCCCCAACCAAACCCTGGAAAGGGGCAGGGGGAAGCTACCAAAGTACAAAACGGGGGGGTGGGGGGTCTCCTGTCAGCAAGGCCCCCCAAAACGCAACCCTGGAAATGCAAACTTGGGTGGGGGGGCAGTGGGGACGCCCCCAAAAGGCAACCCTGGGGGGACACTCAGGGGAGCCCCGCAAACACAGACCTGCGAGCGGGGTACCCTGAGCGCGTTGCCCCGCGGGAGCGCTCTGGCGCTGGCTCCCGGCCCGCGGCGCAGCTGGACGCGGGCAGAACTACAGCTCCCAGCATGCTCCGGGCCGCGCGGACGGGGCGGGGGAGGCGCCGGGCGCGCTGAGCAGGCTGGGAGAGGCGGCGGCGGCCGGAGGAGCAGGTCGGGGCCGGGCAGGTAGGGATGGGCCGCGCCTCCCGCGCCGGGCGGTTCGCCGGGGCTCGCGGCCGGGAGCCAGGGATCGCCGGGGGGCGGGAGGCCGCGCACTTTGTTGTGGGGGAGAGGAACGGTCGGGCCCCCGGGGGCAGGCACCGGGGGGGGGAGAGGGTGTAACGGGCCCCCGGGGGCAGGCACCGGGGGGGGGCGAGAGGGTGTAACGGGCCCCCGGGGGCAGGCACCGGGGGGGGGGGAGAGGGTGTAACGGGCCCCCGGGGGCGGCCCCCGGGGGCAGGCACCGGGGGGGGCGAGAGGGTGTAACGGGCCCCCGGGGGGGGGGGGGGGGGTAACGGGCCCCCGGGGGCGGGCACCGGGGGGGGGGGCGAGAGGGTGTAACGGGCCCCCGGGGGCAGGCACCGGGGGGGGGGGCGAGAGGGTGTAACGGGCCCCCGGGGGCAGGCACCGGGGGGGGGGGGGCGAGAGGGTGTAACGGGCCCCCGGGGGGGGAGAGGGTGTAACGGGCCCCTGGGGGCAGGCACCGGGGGGGGTGTAACGGGCCCCCGGGGGGGGTGTAACGGGCCCCCGGGGGGGTGTAACGGGCCCCCGGGGGGGGGTGTAACGGGCCCCCGGGGGCAGGCACCGGGGGGGGGAGAGGGTGTAACGGGCCCCCGGGGACAAGCACGGGGTGGCTGAGGGGTAATGGGACCCCATACTGAAAGGGGGGCAGTATGGGCTGGGGAAGCAGAAAGAGTGGGGGGAGAAATCTGAATTTGGGATGGAGACGTAGGGGGAGAGGGAAAAGCTCCCAGGGCAGAGCCAGGCTTGGGGTGGGCACCTGGGGGTGTCTCGCCGGTCTCTTTCCTTCCGGCTGGTACGGCCAGGTTCCAAGCCATTGAAAGACGCCCCCCATTTGAATACAATAAATAAAAGCCAAGTGTCGCTTTCAAAGGCGCTAAACCAGACTGGCCTGGTGCTGTGTGAGGTCAGTATGTTCTCTCTGGAAGGTGCCAACCCCAGGGGAGAGGGACGCAATGGCAGGATGGGCTCTGGGATGATGGGTAGGGGAGCAGAAGCGGGGAGCAAGAAGGACCAAGGGGAAAAATGGAGGGATAGCAAAAGAATAGACACACCATTGCTCCCTGGATTATGATGACTAGGACCGAGTCTACACCTGAAACTTAGGTCCGTTAGCTATCTTGCTCAGGGGTATAGTTAAGCACATTGACCTACCTACTGCCTCACAAGGAGGTGGATTTACTACAGCTATGGAAAAATCCCTTCTTCACGGTTACAAGCATCTGCACTCCAACTTTGTCGCTCTAATACATGTAGTGTGGACATACCCTAGCGTACTCGGCTAGCAATGGGCATTAAGCTCTATTGACCACATCCCCACCTACAGGACAAACATTTTCAATCCAAGTTGAAGGAGGTTAGTATGTCTGCTTAACTCCTTTTGTCACTCAGGATTTGTTATTCTAGGACTGGTCTACGCTTAAAAGTTAGGTCAACGTACGGGCAGGGTGTAAAATCCACATCCCTGGCGGACGTAGCTATGCCAACCTGACCCCCAGCGTAGACACAACTGTGTCAATGGAAGAATGCTTCCAGCAAGGGAGCGTCCATTGTTCAAGGAGGTGGGGTTCCTATGCTAATGGGGGTCAGAACAAACCTTTCTATCTGTGTAGCCTGATGTAGCTATTCCAGCACAGTCTCAGTAGCGTAGACATATCCCCATGTAGATAAAGCCTGGGGCAACTAGATCTCTGTAAGATTTCCAGGGCCAGTGTGGGACTGTAGCATTTCCTGCCTACCATATTACACAGAGCAGCATTCCTTCTCCTGGGAGAGGCTGGAAGCTTTTAGAAGAGAATGTGGAAATTCTTATAATTTTAGTTAACATGGATGCAGAGCAGTTACAGGCTAGGTTTTAGATATGACCTGTGTATGGATGATGGCTTTGTTTTGAAGTCCCTTCCCACCACTCCTGACCCCCCAAAAAGTTCTCCCAGCCACAGCTGTCTTTCTTCTAAGGCTTGTTAGCAGGCAGCTTTATTATGTTTACATATGGCTTTAATTGTATCAGCAGTTAATTCCATTTGTGGTTATTCCCATGTTAACAGAGCCCCTTGTTTAATGAATTTATCTCCTGCTGCAGCAGACATGTCTTTGCTAAGGAGACGGTTGTACCCATGTTACAAATCAAACTTAAGTAACTTGTACATGGCTGTGCAAGCGTCTCAGGGCATCACTGAACTGAATCACTTGCGATAGTTTCCACTGTGCGTTCATCAGCCCATGCTTGACATGCTTGTGTTCACAAAGCGTATTCTTAACAATCCCAAGGGCACCTCCATTTGACTCAGGACTTATATTTGCTTAATAAAAATGTTAATCGATGGAAAGAAAACACATTTAGAGGCATGCATGGAACTTTGCTTCTTGGGACATAAACATTATTTTCTTTTTATAGAAAAATATTCTCCTGTGATCACATTGTATGTTTCCATTCCCACAGTGCTGATTTGAAAAAAATCCTGCAATGTTTCTAGTAGCCTGTATATTCACTCTGAACACACATACAGATAAGGGTTAATGCAAATAAAAGCAAAGGCAGGAAAATTCTGAGTTACAGGGATGCATTATTATTATTATTTATTCATTCCAGTGGAATATTTTCTTAAACAATTTCTCTGCAGTGTTTGTAGCCTAAATTTTGAAGCTTTGTCCTAGTGCCAGAATCTGATTGTAAAGTTGACTAAAATACAAAAGTAACTAGTAAACTAACTAGTTTAGTCTCTCAGTGCATGCTAAGAGAAACAAAAAACAAAACAAAAACTGATAGTGCAAAGTTATACAGTAATTAAAAAAAAATCACATATATATTTCTAACTTGACCCTCACCTAAGGTTTTCTCTAATTTTAACCCCTTGTGCTTAATGAACTGCCTGAACTATGATGCACAAGAGCACCTGTTAGCTGGAAACCTCTCCTAAGGGTTGCCCTCATGCGAGTTAAGGATGCAATTACAGCGATCACTGAATTGTTTTACTTCAGTGAGACCCACGGTATCATTCTCATAAACAGGTGTTTTTGTGATTTAAGACCTTGTTTAGTTCAGCTTGCTGAATATTTGAGCCACTTCAAAATGAATAGCAGTTTATTTTTAATGAACAGAGCTCTCTCTGCTTTGTTTTTTTAAAGGTGGTCGGCAACCTTTTATCTAAACTGGGATTCCTCCCCACTCCAATCACCTGACATCTTTCCCTATTGTTATCCCTCCAAGCAAAGCCAGCCCTCTCGAATATTTTTAAGGAGAATATATATAGATAATAGGTCTTACACTGTGGATTTATCATTCTTAAATACTGATTTTCACTACTTTGAGGAACATTTCTGGCCTACTTGGCAGTGTCCTGGCTATTGAGCAATGCTTTCTGTTCCTACAGCTCCTATGTATGCGAAGGATAAAGACAAATCTTCTATTTCAGTGCTAGCGGTAGGAGCTGCTGGATAACACAGCTTAATTTCTGGAGACTGAAATGCTTTAGTCTAACCCAAGTTATTGGGCTATAGGGTAAGTAGGACATGTAATGGTTTGTGATATACAGGTCAGACTAGATGACCTAGTGGTCCCTTCTGGCTTTAAACACTATGACGCCAAAATTCCCCAGGAGCTCTTGAGTATTACATCCACAACACTGCAAATCCTGGGAGTAAAGGATCAGGTCCTCACTTGGTAGATAACTGTGATTTTCCCCTACACCACTGACTCAATCCCTGAAAATGAGGGCTCCAAAGAATAACAAACAGGGCATTGGTTGAAACCTACTGATGCACACTTTCTCTCTGAATGCGCACAAAGCACTTTCCTCCACAGCAGTTGTCTGCTCCCTTCCTTTGAGCAAATGGTCTACTGAAGTATACAAAATCCTTCTGTCTCAGATGCTCCCAAGGATGAAGCAGGCAAGCTCAGCAGGGGAAGCAGGAGAGTGCTATGGTCAGGCAGCCGTGATTCAGAGCACAGTGGGTATGTTACTTTTCTGTACAGGTCTCACAGCTCACTCTCTCTTCATCTTTGGGACAAAAAAAAAAAAATAGGGATTTCTTTCTTTTAATGGCCAGGCCTTGCAATAGTAAAGGTATGGAAACCAAGTCCATTGAATAATGGTTTAATGATGTGAACTCTTGTGTTCTTTTTGAGTGAATGCCTGCTTTAGTGAGAGAACTACTGCAATTCTTTAATTCAGTATGGAGGAATAATGTGAGGATGCTGAAGGATACAGAAACCCCTGGATAAGGGAGGTTGGCAATAAAGGTAGTATTAGATTGAACCAAAATGTAAGAGCAAGATGGATGCTGCAAGATTATTAAATCTATAAAGTGAAACATTTTAAAACCAAACTCCAGAACGAATAATGAGCAGTTGAATTCAAGTAGTTTTTACAAATGAATGGAAATGTCTAATTATTAACCTGTTCAGTGCCAGTGCCCACTGGAATTTTGGTACATCAAAGGTGTATTTTGTTTCATGTGTGGGGGAGGGATGTAACACTGAAGAGGTTAATAAAATATACTGGATTGAATCTTAGCTGTGAATGATTGCATGTTTAAAAAATGCACAAAAAAACAGCAGAAACTGACAAATCTCTTTCACTCTAGTTTATCTTTCTGACAAACAGACGGGATGTTGGAAATTTATCATTTTGGTTGATTAACATCCAGGAAGGTAGATCAGAACAACCACATTCATTTCACTCATGTCTGAGGTCACATCTGAATCCTGGTCTCCAGAAGTAATATACTAATGTCCTAAGGCACTGCACCATCTGGTCCCCCTTTTGATCTGCAATATTTGAATGCTTGATTTACTATCCCTGTGTATCCATAAATTGTGTAAACTCAGAGGCATGGCAGTGGTAGTTGGGTATCATGAGCAGATGATTTAGTCATCAATATCTATTGGGTTTCCTTATTGCTGCCATTAGACTTCTTTCAGTTTTACTTATAAATCATGTAAGTGAATCATTCAGCGTACCAGAAACTGCAAGTTAGTGTTAGAACTTGCCCACTGTGAGATTAGCTGAAATTAATCTGCCCCTTCAGAATGTGGAAGAGCCAAGTGGATTGCTTATTCGCCAGAGCTGGTTGATAAATCAGAAATAAATTGCATGTGTATGTATAGCCGGAGGTGGTAAGGAAATAAATCACTTTTCTCTTTTCTTTCTGAACAGGATCAAAGCACCTTGGAATAAATGTGAGTACAAGTTTTACACTAATTGAATCCACCTTGGAAAGCCATGGCCGCTGCCTCTCACCTGAACTCGGATGCACTTCGGGAAGTTCTGGAATGTCCTATTTGCATGGAGTCCTTTACTGAGGACCAGCTGAGGCCCAAACTCTTACACTGTGGGCACACCATCTGCAAGCAGTGCTTGGAGAAACTCCTAGCAAACAGCATCAATGGGATACGCTGTCCCTTCTGCAGCAAGGTCACTCGGATCACAAACTTGGCTCAACTGACCGACAATCTCACGGTGCTGAAGATCATAGACACCACAGGACTAAGTGAGGCTGTGGGCCTTTTCATGTGCAAAGTTTGTGGGAGAAGGTTACCCAGGCACTTCTGTAAGAGCTGTAATTTGGTTTTGTGTGACCCATGCAAGGAGATGGAACATCAGCAACAAGGACATGGTGTTGTTGCCATCAAAGAGGCTGCTGATGAACGGAGGAGGGAATTTGGTATAAAGCTTGGCAGACTTCGGGAGCTCATGGGGGATCTGCAGAAAAGAAAAGCATCGCTGGAAGGGGTCTCCAAAGATGTACAATCCAGATACAAAGCAGTTCTTCAGGATTACAGCAAGGAAGAGCGCAAGATCCAGGAAGAACTGGCAAGGTCACGGAAGTTCTTCACAAACTCTTTGTCTGAAGTTGAGAAAGTAAATAACCAGGTAATGGAGGAACAGGCTTATCTGCTGAACATAGCAGAGGTGCAGATCGTATCTCGATGTGACTATTTCCTTGCCAAGATTAAGCAGGGAGATATAGCTCTCTTGGAGGAGGCAGCGGATGAGGAAGAGCCAGAACTGACGAACAACCTACCAAGAGAGCTGACTCTGCAAGAGGTGGAGCTCCTCAAGGTGGGCCATGTGGGACCTCTGCAGATTGGGCAGGTGGCAAAGAAACCTCGGACAGTCAACATGGAGGAATCTCTGATGGAGACTGCTGCATCCTCATTGGCTACATTTAGGGATACTGATGTGGTGCAAGAAGAGACTAGTTTGACCCCAAATTCCTCACCTGCCAAACCAAGGATGCCTGAAACAGCCACTAGCATCCAGCAGTGTAACTTCCTCAAGAAGATGGGCTCCAAAGGCAGCATGCCAGGGATGTTCAATCTTCCTGTCAGCGTACATGTCACCGTACAGGGAGAGGTGCTTGTGGCAGATCGTGGCAATTTCCGAATCCAGGTATTTACCCGCAAGGGTTTTCTGAAGGAGATCCGGCGGAGCCCTAGTGGCATTGATAGCTTTGTGCTGAGTTTCCTTGGAGCAGATCTACCCAATTTGACTCCCCTATGTGTCACCATGAACTGCCATGGCCTGATAGGAGTGACTGACAGCTATGATAACTCACTAAAGGTGTATACCATGGATGGACACTGCGTTGCATGTCACAGGAGCCAGCTTAGCAAGCCCTGGGGCATCACAGCTCTGCCTTCAGGGCAGTTTGTAGTGACCGATGTGGAAGGGGGAAAGCTCTGGTGTTTCACAGTGGACCGTGGTGTTGGGGTAGTCAAGTACAGTTGCTTATGTAGTGCTGTGCGCCCAAAGTTTGTCACTTGTGATTCTGAAGGGACTGTATACTTCACTCAGGGGCTGGGACTCAATCTGGAGAACCGTCAGCATGAGCACCACCTCGAGGGGGGCTTTTCAATTGGCTCTGTAGGTCCAGATGGGCACTTAGGCCGCCAGATCAGCCACTTCTTCTCGGAGAATGAGGATTTCAGGTGCATCGCTGGGATGTGCGTGGATGCTAGGGGAGACCTGATAGTTGCAGACAGCAGCCGTAAAGAAATCCTGCATTTTCCTAAAGGAGGTGGTTACAACATCTTAATCAGGGAAGGCCTCACCTGTCCTGTTGGCATAGCCATTACCCCTAAAGGGCAGCTCCTAGTGCTGGATTGTTGGGATCACTGCATTAAGATCTACAGTTACCATTTGAGGAGGTATTCCACACCATAAGGGTGTTTCCCTGGATAAAGCTACTCTTCTCATTATAGATTCTCCCCGCCTTATCATCATTTGACAGAAGTTAGTGCTGCACTAGCAGGTGGATTATGTCCTAGTCCGAGCTGTGTCACTATTTTGTGTTTAGAAACAAAATAGCCTTTTTTATTTGTGTAATTTTAAAAAAAAACAAAAAACCCACCACCCCCACCTCCATGGAGCAAGGGATACTTATGGAGTACTGGTTGTGGGTTAAGTGACTGATCTCTCCCTACATTTTACTGCCTTGTACCGTAGCTCATACTCCCAGCTTCAACCACTGCAAGCAGCTTTGTGCCATAAATATTAACTGACTGTTCTATATGACCTTTCTTTAGGGGACTTGTGAAGTGATCTTCTTACCACCACAGTCTTCACAAAGATCTCAGTCACAATTCTTCACAGACAACCACGGAAAGCTATTTCTGATTGCAACGCTGTAGTTGCATACGACAACACAGCCTCCCTAAACTGCACGAAGATGCAGCTTGCATACAACTAAAGGGCAGGGCTGTGGCCCTCCCTGTTTGCAGTAGTTAGGAGATTATCCTCATGGTGCCATTAGTGAATCCCACTTGGTCCACCAGTCTCTTCAATGTGAAGTGAGTACAGTGCAATCATGGAAGACTGATCGAGCCAGAGAACTGCCCTCTGATGGCAAAGAGAATTTCATTACAGTTTGATTAGCATGAGAAAAGTGTAGCGTGAGAGGGGGGAATTGACAGGAGAACCTATTTAACAGAATAAATTTCAGTCTGTTAGTATTCACAGTTGTTTTACTATTAAATCTGGCTTGGAACCTGTCTTTGAAGGGTATGTTTGGTATTTAAAGCTTTGCCAGGGGAGAGAGAAATTGAAGTAAACACGATCAAATGTGACAAATGGTATATTCTTCTGCACACTTCAATATTTTGCATCCAGATCATTGCATTTACTGATAGGTTTCCATTAGTCTGCACTTTGTATGTGAAAGCTACTTGTTCATGAGATAAGGGGAAAAAAGGTGGGGAGGGAATCTTATTTTATTACTTGGAAGCTCTTGCTCTGGTGGTTTGCATCTTTCTCCATGCACAGCAAAAAGCTACATTCCTAGAGACATTTTTTGGCCTTTTTTATGGCTCCAGCAGGCACCAGGTGCATGTTCATCTCAGCTTTGGGTCAGATGAAGCACAAAACTGCAGCTTTGTGAGTTAACACCCCCACAGTGTGCCTATCCTGGCTGATAAACACATATCTCAGTGTGGTGTTGCTTCTCTAAAATAGTTTACTGAAGAAAAGAAACATTTAAATAGGACACAGTTGTAGAATGTTAATCTGCCAAAATCATGGTTACACAGCAGTGTAATTACTATGTGTTACCATCAACAATGTAGTTGCAAATTTGGGGGCACAATAGACCACGTAAAAAACTGGCTTTATCTGTCCTGTCCAGCATTTTCGAACTGTATTTGCTGTAGTATCAAATCTGTGCTACAATGTGTCTGTAACAGGTGAGTTTTTAAATTCCCACAATCTGTCTGTCCCTTCTTAGTTAAGCAGCAGTAAAAATAAGAGCTTCCTAAAAGCAGCTGCTGTTGTTTGTGCCTCTCCAGCCAGCTGTGTGACTGTAACAGGGCTTCAAGACCTAGTGGTAAAAGCAGAACCATCTTGATTTGTGGACTCCCTGATTTTGCCAAAGAACTGAGCAGGACCAGCACATTAGCCCCAACTACTCTAGACCCATCTTTGCTGTTTGTACAGTGCCTAGCACAGGGAGTACAATGCTGATCAGGGCAATTGCGTGTTACTGTATTATGAAGTGATGAGCTAGGAGAACTTTGGAGAGAAGGGAGCAGGCACAGACGGAAGCAATGGATCTGTAGAGGGGAAGACACTGTGGCTTCTGAGGGAATTTAAAAATTCAGCCCTTACCATATGAACTGTGGTGTGTTGATTTGCTGTAGATACAAACCCCAAACATGGATTTACACACTCAGCTGTCTTCTGGGCAAGTTTGCCTAGGGTGTGTAGTAGCAGTCTGGAGAGTAACTTGCACTCTGGTGTGCATGCTGTTTGGATAGATCTACTTGTGTTTGGACTTCGTTTGGATAATTAACTCTGCTGCAACCCAAGCTGTTCTATAAACATTACATTGATGGCAGTTCCTATTGTACTGATCTTTCATGTTTAAAAATCTTACCTGTTCCTAAGAGCCATTTTCTGCAGGCAGCTTCCGTAGAACTGAATAAATGAAGCAATATTATCTTTCCTAATGAGCATCTGCATCAAACTCGGGAGAGAATATTTCCTAGAGGCCAACTGGATACATTAAGTGGACTTAAAACCTGGCCTGTTCTGCTGACTGAGCAGTTGGTTGCCTAGGTTTCTCCTGGTGGCCACAGTTTAAATTAAGTTCTCCATCATCTCTTTCATCCTGTATTACAGATTCCAAGAAAAGGAGACACTATTCTGTGAAGCACTTGTAGAGTAAGGTGGGGGGGATTGGTGCCCGTGTGTGTGTTTAGCCTGTAGCTGCTATACTGTTCTTGTGGGGTTTTTTTCAGGCAGACAGGGGGAAGAGAAGAGGAATGGGCTGTCCCCAGCTAGAATACGTGCTGCAGCTGGCAAAGCAGAATTGGCTATAAACTAGTTTCTCAGAGCTGCATCTTTTGCTGTAGTGTTTTGCTTTTTTGCCACCCTTGTGATCCGCTCCAAAGGAGATGAAAAGGAGTAATTAAAGATTGTGATGAAATAGTTTAGCTTCTGCTTTTCACCTGGAGATGGAACATGTCTGATTATGAGTGTGTTTGATTTTTAAAGATTGTGTAATAACGGGAAAATTGATCCAATTAAAAGTGCATTACAAATGGCTCATCTCATTATTAAAAACATTTCTCCTTATGTTCTCTTTGGTGGCAGACTGGTTTCCATGGCCATCCGGAATTAGGTTTGCTAACATATTAACTGCAAGATACCTCTTCTCTTCCTCTCAGGAAGTGGAGGATAAATCCACTCTCTGGCAGGTCTACAATAAGTATGTCACACTTCTTTCCCCACCTTACAAACATAAATACTAGGATTTGTCATATACGCTCAGATCAATAGGCCCTCAAGGCCTGTATCTTCGTGATGTATGTCGTACCTAATGCTTCAAAGGCAAACAACCCTCACCCTTTCGTAGTGCAACAAATAAAAATAGTTGAAAGTGTGTCAAGTGGTTAGAGCCAGGAATCCTGGATTATAATCCTAGATTTGCCACCAATTCACTTAGCCACTGCCTGCTTCAATTTATCCATCTGCAAAATTGGGACAGTACTGCTTATATTACTACAGCGTGGCATGAGGTTCAACTAGTTGTTATGGATTAAACTGGGATAATCTGATAAGTGCTATCAGTATTCTTTTTAAGAAAATCTCATTTAGGGGAAGCCACAAGAGAGCCAAGCAATTTGCCATTTCGGTTTAGAGGACAACATCTCATCAGTGGAGACACATCCTCTGATTTTCTTGTTACCAGCTCAGTTTGTTACCCAGACTCTCTTCCTGTGATGTGAGACAGCGCTTTAAGCAGTTGCTGGTTTATAAAATAAAAAGAACTTTGAAGAATGATAGTCATAATGTCCCTGCTAGACTTAGCACTGATCAACTGTTTCATGAAAAGAGGTGATTTCTCACGGCAGTTATAATTTCACTGTAAGCATTTATTCTGGATTCAAAATTGGCATGTGACGTTTGAGGCTGGGAGGTTATTTTTAAAAATAAAGTTTTATTTTTTTAATCAAAGAGGGCAGGGTTATAAAAGTAAAAACAAAATACAGGCACTTTTAGGTTCTTTGTATTGTATAGTTTAAGTGATTTTTCTGGGTCATTAGTCAATGTGAGGCTTTAAAGTTATTTCATTTTGCACAACTAATTACTGTACTCGCCTGGCAATTTTGGATTACAATGAGCAGGGCATAAGGTCATTTAGCAGACTGACTCATCGCATGTGCAGTTTAGTCTAAACAAAATTTCACAGCAACTGACTAGATTTTTTTAAGCCTGAACAGTATGTTAAATCTGTGGTTTTAAAACATGTATCAGGACAGAAACTGCATGCTGCAAAGAGATATACACTTAATATAGTGCTTGTTGGTAGAAACAGATTTCCAAGTGCTATAAAATTCTATAGGCTCATATTGTAACCAGACAATAAAACCAGGTATAGGGGGAAAGTATTATATCCCAATTGCCTAAATACTAAAATGGGTGAACTAGAGGGCATGACATTACATTAGGATATAATAGGCAACCCGGAAACTTGGTAGAATGAGGGTAATCGATGGGACACAATACATAGGAATGACAGAGTAGGTTGCGCTGGTGAGGGAGTGGCCCTCTATGTACAAGAAAGAGAGGCAAATAAAGTAAAAATCTGAAATGAATCCAATTGTACCATAGAATCTGTATGGACAGAAATTCCATGCTTGAACAATAAGAGTATAGCAGTAGGAATATGCTACCAACCACCTGACCAGGATGGTGACTGCGGTTGTGAAATGCAGGGAGATTAGAGAGACTATAAAGGTAGAAAACACAATAATAATGACAGGTTTCAGAGTAGCAGCCATGTTAGTCTGTATTCGCAAAAAGAAAAGGAGGACTTGTTGCACCTTAGAGACTAACAAATTTATTTGAGCATAAGCTTTCATGAGCTACAGCTCACTTCATCAGATGCTCAAAGCTTATGCTCAAATAAATTTGTTAGTCTCTAAGGTGCCACAAGTCCTCCTTTACAATAATAATGGGGGATTTCAACTATCCTCATATTGACTGGCTATATGTCATCTCAGGAAAGGATGCAGGGATAAAGTTTCAAGGCACCATAAAAGATGGCTTCTTGGAGCAGCTTGTCCTGGAACCCACAAGGAGAGAGGCAATTCTTGATTTAATCCTCAGTGGAGCCAAGAGGTGAATATAGCTGAACTGCGACCATAATATAATTACATTTAACATCCTTGTACAGGGAAAAATGCCAGAGAAACACACCACAGTCGGGATGACTGGGCAACACAATGGCAGATGAAGTTCAACGTTGATAAATGCAAAGTAATGCACATTGGAAAATATCCCAACTATAAGTACAAAATGATGGGGTCTAAATTAGCTGATCCCGTTCAAGAAAGAGATCTTGGAGTCATCGTGGATAGTTCTCTAAAAATGTCTGCCCAATCTGCAGCAGCAGTCAAAAAAGCGATCAGAATGTTAGGAACCATTAGGAAAGGGATAGATAATAAGACAGAAAATATCATAATGCCGCTATATAAATCCATGGTACACCCACACCTTGAATACTGCATGCAGTTCAGATCACCCCTTCTCAAAAAAGATATGTTAGAATTGGAAAAGGTTCAGAGAAAGGCAACAAAAATGATTAAGGGTATGGAACAGCTTCCATATGAGGAGAGATTAAAAAGATGGATTTTTCAGCATGGAAAAGAGATGAGTAAGAGGGGAAATGATAGAGATCTATAAAATCATGATGGGTGTGGAGAAAGTGAATAAGGAAGTGTTATTTACTCCTTCAAATAACACAAGAACTAGGGGTCACCCAATGAAATTAATAGGCAGCAGGTTTAAAACAAACAAAAGGAAGTATTTCACACAATGCATAGTCAAGCTGTGGGACTTGTTGCCAGGGGATGTTGTGGAGGCCAAAATTATAACGGGGATCAGAAAAGAATTCACTAAATTCATGGAGAATGGATCCATCGATGGCTGTTAGCCAAGATGGTCAGAGACGTAAGCCCATGTTCTTGGTTGTGTCCATACCCTTTGATTGCCAGAAGCTGGGAGTGGATGATGGGATGGATCACTCGATGATTGCCTGTTCTGTTCATTCCCTTTGAAGCACCTGGCAGGATACTGGGCTAATGGACCACTGGTCTGACCCAGTATGGCCGTTGTTCTCCTTTATTAGCTAGGGGTGCATTGTTTCCAGACGCTGAAACTGTTTGCAACATTTGGTTTGCTGGGCACATAACTGGGCCACGTTGGCTCAGGCAGGGGAAATCTACATGTGTGCCATTTGGGGAGGAGAGGTGTAAAAAGAGCAAAATAAAATTAACCCAATGTTGGAAGGAAAATGCTGTCTGACAATGAGAACATAACCTCTGCTTCTCCAGACACTTCCCTCACATCCTTACCACTCCAAACCCCTCAACAGCAGCTGTTTCTCTTTCTGTTAGAATCTTTTTATTCCCATCTCCATTGTGAGGGAGAAGAGTGATCTGAGTATTAGGACTGGGTACATCTGAGGTTTCATCAAACACTGGCTGCGTGGCCTTGGGCAAGTCACTTAACTGCTGTGCCTCAAGTCTCTCCAGCTGTAGAGCAGAGGTAATCCTGCCTCATGGGAAAGGTGGAAGGTTTAGTTGCCGTCTGCACAGTGCTGTTAGGAAGAGTGCTACTAAAGGGCTTAATGCTAGTAGATTCTCTGCAGTATTGCTGATGACCTCTCCGTTTTCATCTGGGCCAATGACATTTTCAAATGCACATGCATTGTCTGTGGTCTGTTTATCTCGCTGGAAGTGAGGGAGATACAAAGCTTAGTTGTTTGAAGTTCCTCCTGTATGTCAAAGTTGGCTTGCTGAATAACTGTTCCCCTTTCCTCTTACAGCTGCCTTTCTCCCTCCATTCAGTCAGACTGAAGGGAGGCGCAGAGCAAATAGATCTATTACAATTATTCTGCAGAGAATGGACCGGACAGTAGCAGGTGCATTTGCTGTAATGGGAGAGCCCTTCTTGGAAGGATTCCCCTACTTCCTCCTGCATGTGTTGTGACAGTGCCTTAAAAGCAACAGGAGGTGGCATGGAGTCCACAGGTGTCCACAAACTGCCAAATAAAGATGTCCGCAGAATTGGTGTGAACCTAATGACGTGCTGTCAGCGTTAAACACAGGCTCTAATGGTGGAGAAAACCGATGCAGGCTTCAGTGAAAGGGATCAACAGCAGGGTCAATTTCAAAGCCTCGGATCAGCGCCCACATCTGCCCTTGATGAGTTAAAGTGTTGCTAGGTAACGTGGAACCGTAGCCAAAGAGCCCCTGAAATAGGGCCTTTAATGATTTTCAATTAAATAAAAGGGGGGGGGAGGGGTTGTTTTGTTTGCCCACAATCTAACTCGTTCTCCAGAGGGGAGATTGGAAGAAAGCAAACTTCCAATATTTGCCTTAGATCTAAAAGAAAAGCAACTCCTGATTTGTAATGTCTACTCAAAAATTCCCCTCTCTCTCTTTCCAAATATTTTATGTGACTGAAAATCCTTATCCCAGGAAGGCTCCTGGATGGCATCAGTTCAATTTCCAGGGATGACATGTCTATACCTCCAAAACGATCATAACTGGTTCTCTTGCTTGTAGTCTCATAGAATCATAGAATATCAGGGTTGGAAGGGACCCCAGAAGGTCATCTAGTCCAACCCCCTGCTCGAAGCAGGACCAATTCCCAGTTAAATCATCCCAGCCAGGGCTTTGTCAAGCCTGACCTTAAAAACCTCTAAGGAAGGAGATTCTACCACCTCCCTAGGTAACGCATTCCAGTGTTTCACCACCCTCATAGTGAAAAAGTTTTTCCTAATATCCAATCTAAACCTCCCCCACTCCACCCCTTCAGTGGAGGGGTTCAGGAGGCTGTATGCTCCTCTTGCCTTTTGAGGGGCTGCATCCAGAGCAATGTTAAGGTGGTGTAAGGTGATGCTGCTCATGCTATATAGGGGCAGAGTAGGGAAAACTGGCCCTCATCTGGCCTCTGTTTTGTCTCCAGGCCTGTCCATCCAGTAGCTGTCATCAGCACGATGTTCATCTTGAACGTACAGGATTTGTTTTTAATGAGGGAAGATTAACTCTGTAGTTCCCCCCCTTTTGTTAATGGACATAGAAACCAAGCTGTCCATCAACCCCAGAGCACACCTCATCTCCTCTGTCACTAGCACAAATGAGAGAAGATGCAGCAGAGTGGAATCTCTCTCTCGGCTTTCGTATCATGCTCGTCCCCAGGGTGTCTGAGCACTCGGAGCGAGAGGGGCAAGCTTTCTGCTGGCTCTCCACAAAACCAAATCAATGTGTCTTGCATTTGGCTGGAGTAAATCCGTATGCAAACACCTACGCCCTTCCAGGGCTCCCATGACTGTTCCTTTCTGCTGCCTGCTAGCGTGGTTATTCAGACAGTTCCAACGTTGGCAACTAGCCCGCGTCTGGCCCAGCAATTTACAAGAAATCGGACTGCCAGCAGTACGGTTTTATGTTCGAGACAATGTTTTCAATTAGAACACAAACACACAGATTGTGTACTTTGTAGGCGGGCACCTCTTCCTGGGGCCTCCAGATTTATTTGTGAAGTTGATTACAATATTAAGAGACTTTGGTCAGGAAGCTGCAAATGTGCTACAACTTCAATTTTATTATTTTTGGGGCCATTCCAGTCAGCATGAGATTTTTTTTTCTCCTTTATCAATTTCACCTGCTACCAGATTACAGGGAAAGTGCCCCTTTCATATAGTTCATAGACGTGCTGCATGTGTGTTCCCGGTGCAGGCAGGAAACGGGTTGGCTAGCAGGAAGGCAGTGATAAGCCAGAGATGTTTCTGAGTTGAGCAGGTACCCAGTCAAACTGTCTGGGTTGGGGCACTTTAGTCATGTCATCCTCATTGTTTAAAAACAATAATAATTTGCGTTTTAGAGCCTTTCCTTGAAGCAACCCCTTAGGCAGGTTTCATGTCCATTTTTCAGATAAATAATGTGCCATAACGCTCCAGAATACAAGCAACCTGTGTGGCTTGTCTTCCAGTGGGGGGACGTAATCACCAAAGGGCTAGAAGCCTTGGCCTGGTTGGAATGAAGACACTCCTGGAGAGAGGATGCTTTCCGCCTCCTGGTGGAAGAGACAATAATGGCTTCACTTGAGCACCTAGGCTGCTGAACAGCAGTTGAAGCCTTGTGGGTGATGACTTACTGTTCCACGTGGAAGGTGAATGCCGTGGCCAGGGCTACTAAGAATGGGATGGAGGCGATAAGGGAGCTGGATAGGAAAGGAATCAGAACAGTGCAAGGGAGTGTCTTAGAACCACGCAGGTAAGGTGTTCACTTTCTCCCCACTGCTTTTGGGCAGTGAGTCCCAGTGCTATGTACGACAGCTGGAGGGGAGGGAGAGCCTACACAGAAAAGCCTTGGTAACGGCACTGCATGGAATAGCAAATAAAGTGCCCTGTCTGTGAGGACACATTCAGGTGAAATTAACTCAGTGGGATGTTGTCCTTCAGAAGGCAGCTGCTCTATGGAACCAAGGTTCCCCTGCTGCCCCAAATGAAAGAGCTGAAGGTACAGATCTCCTAGCCATTCACTCAGTGAGGGCCAACCTTGTTCCCTTAATGCACCTGTTTGGTGGGGGAGGCAGTGCACTCCAGGAGCTAAAGCAGTGGGCTAGACGTCAAGAGACCTGGGCTCTGTCACTGACCTGCTCTGTGATCTTGAGCAAGTCCACAGATAGCTTTGTACCTCACCTCCCTCATCTGTAAAATGGGGATGATGTTACTCACCCACCTTTCTAAACTGTGTTGAGAGCTATGGATTAAAAGCACTACTGACAGCACTGTTGCTATTAGTTACTTTAGTCATCAAATCCAGATTCTACTCTAAATTATGCCCTTGTAAATCTGGAGTAACTCCACTGTCTCTCTGGAGTGGAGTCTCTCTGGATTTAAATCAGCATAACTGGGAGCAGAATCTGGCCCTCTTGAGTATTTCACACTATCCCATTTTCAAAGGGATTCCAGGAAGCTGCACAGTCTGAATGATTAATAGCCTCACACATACGTATACAACGTATCTCCACATTTTCCTCCCCATTCGATGGCATTGCTATGGCAAACGTCCATTTATCAATATTTAAAAATAAAACAAACAAGAACAGCATGTTATAAATAACTCACAGGAACAACTACAGCTGGGATGCAGGTGAAAAATAGCTAAAGGCCATAGCCAAAGGTTCACAGAACCCCAGGGTATGCGTTAGTCTCCTCTCAATCATAGCATGTCAGGCCAGGCTCAGTATGTAGAGATGATAGAATGAAAGTGCCTTTGCAATCTCTGCTATTGTGAATCCTATAATATGTCCCATGTGTTCATACATACGCTGTGGTCCATTTGAGTGGGGAAAGATCAAGTCAAGGGACTATTGCGGGTTCTCCGGAGGAGGGAAATGAACTGGTACACGGAAGGCTACAGCAATAAGGGAGTTTTTATAAACATAACCTAATTGTATTACTTCAAAGGCCTGAAGTTTATTGCCCTGCTTAATGATGTGTCTCGTTATTTATAGTGCAGCACAATGAGTCTGCTATTGATTTAATACACTTCCTTAAAGACTGTCATTGTCACAAGCAATAAAACAAAGCCATTCTGAGACAGCTCAATTATGTCACATTTATATAAAACAACCCAAATCACCCAGGGCATTCCAGGGGCTACCACAACAGGGTAGGGAAGCAAATGACAAGGATCATGGCAAGTACTTCTTTTCAAAACAGGGCCTGCAGGCGACAGCCCGGTGGGCAGCTGCCCAGGTTACATGAGGGAGGGTGTGCGTCTGAGGAAAGGCAATGGCAGGAACAGATAAATAGTCGATCCAAGGCCTAGCTGGAGTTTTGGACTGACTTCGGAACACAGGCAGGCTTGTGTCGCTGGCCATTGGGTCAACCCAGGCCTTCAGTTTGCTTCTAATTACAGGCATGGCCCAAAGCGCCTGCAGGGTGGTGGTGAAAGGGCTGGGAGGGAACTGGGTCAAAAGGGCTGGGATGGTTTTGCAGCAGTGGGCGTGCCCGAGGCAGCAGCTCCTCCCTGGGGTCCCCTTACCTTTCTGGTACTGGAGCCAAAGCTGCTGTTGGACCTTCTTGCTGGGGAAGTGGATGGTGCAGCTGAACTCTGATCCATACAGTGCCTCTTGGATGTAGTGAGAGCCGTACTGCTGAATGAATGACAACAGCTCCTCCCGGCTGCTGTCCTTGCTTAGGATCTTCAGCACATTTGCAAATCCTGAAAGAGTGAGCATCTCATTGGTAAACACACCAGACAGGGCAGCCAGGTGTGGGCAGTGGGGACTCACAGAGTTCCTGCTCCAAACTCTCTGATCCCTGAACACTCGTGTGCCAGCTGCATTTCCTCCTCCTCTACCTGCCTCTGTGGCTTACATTATGGTTTGCTAAACACATGCTGTTTACCTGGGTCTGCAGCTTTCGGACCTTTCTGTGGCTTCCCCCCCATCAGGGATTTCACATATAAGTCACTGGTGACAGTGCTGCAGTGCAGACACATGCATGTGTTACACAACTGAAGCTCCGTTCCTTTTTTGCAAGATACACCGGAGGGTATGTCGCAGCTTCGTTTTGCAGTTATCACAGCTGGAGACGTTGCCCTAGCGTAGGGATTAATTTATTCCAGATCATACAGTGGAGCATCCCCAGAGTTAATATTCTGGGCATGTTTGTTTATTTAAAAAAAAAAGCTGAAAGTGCCCCTGGAGTGCCCTGGATGGTTGGGAGGGGAAGAAAGTAACTGGACACAGATAGTCGGACTGCAGGTCATGTGAATTTCCTGGCAATCTGCCAGCAGCCCCAGTTGAAAGTGAGTAACCCTAAGGCAGGTGTCCCAGCTCTCGGGATTGTCACAGGAAAAGTTCCATTGGAACAAGGCAAGGAGTAGCCTGACGTGTCTCCTGGTGGCAGCAAAATGTGAGGCCACTGTCCTGGTTTGAGCACACCGGCCCAGATTCACTAAGGAATTTAGGTTCCTAACTCCCCTTGATTTCAATAGGAGTTAGATGTCTTCTGCTCCTTTGTGAATCTGGGCCAGTGTATCACAAAGAGTGCACAGAGGTAAAAGGGGTTAACCTTAACTCAGTTGTCCCACTCCTTTGCACAGGTGCTCAGGGGTGCTCACTGGTCACTTGGAAGACAGTGGGGGGAAATGCTTTGGGGTCACAGGACAGGGCTGGACTTGAGGGTGGGGAAGTCTTTTGGCTGCAAACTTTCTCCTGGGAAGAAAAGCCCTTGCAGACTTCATCTGTATTTTGTTTCTTCAGAGCTGGTGCATCAGATTTGCCGGGACATTGCCCCATGATGGAACTTGGAGAACCATGACAAGGCAAAGACATTTTGATACAGACATGACATTCGGATGCAATGAGTTTGTCCACTGGGGAAAATTTTTATACCAGATGATCAAATACAAACCAGATCGCAACGGGGCCAGTCTCTCCAGGTTTTCATAAAGCACCTGGCCCTGGAGTATCTGTGCACCGGCAGAAAGGCTGCTGAAAAAGGCTCTTGAGACAGTGATCTCGAGGATTTGCGTAACAGTGATGCTTAGCCAGATTGCTCAAGAACAGTCGTGCAACTGGAAGCCTAGCAAGTCTAGGTCATTAACCTCCCTGGTTAATCCCGAGCTCCCACCATTCCGAGAGGTGCAAGAGGGACAGCAGATGAGCTCAGGGTGAAGGGGAAAGGGAGGTAACTCTAATCCCGTTGAACACACACTATTCTGATAGTGCAGAGCAAGGAGGACGTGTCTCAGTGGAACAAGTCTGTATGTGTTACAGGAGGCGGGGTTTAGTTTAGGGAGGCAGTGCCTTGTGGCATGAGTAGGCGGTGGGGAGTCAGAAACTTCTGAAAAGGAAACATGACCAAGGGAGCTGGGAGCCAGGAGACCTGAACCTCTACCATTCCTCTGCCACTGCTGTGTCTTCTTGGTCAAATCATTTAGCACAAAACATTTAAATGTGGTTGCTTAAAGCCAGCCACCAAAAGCCAACAGGAGCTGCAGGTGCTCACAATCTCAGAAAAATCAAGTCCCTCAGTTAGGTGCCTAAGTAGGGATTTAGGTGCTTAACTTTAGGCACCCAAAATGGACAATTCTGACTTCAACCTCTCCCTGTGTTGGTTTCCCCCCATGTTTAATGGGAACAATGTTTTTTATCCCCCACTATAAAGAGCTGTGCATTCCTTGGATGCAGAGCTCTGTGAACAGTAAGGGCTGGAGGTTATTATTTCATTACCCTCATCCTGGCTCTGTCTCCATCTGTGACCGTGACCAAATCACGTGAACTCTCTGCCTCAGTTTCCCCTCTCTGTCTTTTAATAGGCAGTGGGTTTAAAACAAGCAAAAAGAAGCATTTCTTCACACAACGCACAGTCGGCCTGTGGAACTCCTTGCCAAAGTATGTTGTGAAGGTCAAGACTACAACAGAGTTCAAAAAAGAACTATATAAATTAATGGAGGATAGATCTATCAATGGCTATTAGCCAGGATGGGCAGGGATGGTGTCCCTTGCCTCTGTTTGCCAGAAGTTGGAAATGGGCGACATGGGATGGATCACTTGATGATTCCCTGTTCTGTTCATTCCCTCTGGGGCACCTGGCATCGGCCACTGTCAGAAAACAGGACACTGGGCTAGACGGACCTTTGGTCTGACCCAATGTGGCCATTCTTATGTTATGTTCTTATATAGAAAGCAGATAATTCTCTCGGCCGACCTTCCTGGGGGAGGGGATTGTGAGCATTAGTGTCTGTACAGAGCCTGGAGAAGCAAAGTGCTGGATAAGTGCTCGGTATTAAGGCATGGGTAGTGATGGGAGAGCCAGTGCCTGCTGCCCACCCACACACTCTCCTCCCAGCTAGAACCGTTTTCATAACAAAGGCAGCTCTCACCTGCAGCGTGGGTGATGGTGCTGAGCTTCACCTTGTACAGGTTGCTTCTGACCCTCCAGTGTTGCACCATGGGGTAGCCCATTGCCTCATCATACCTGATGTCTCCTGTAAAAAGGAAGCCAGGGCTTAGAGAGTGGGGAGGAGACAGCGAAGGATGCACCCTGGGAAGAGTTACTTTCACTCTGACTGTATTTTTTGCTGCGTGGTTTGTGGCTACAGACACCAGGATAACAGAGACCATCACCCCAGACGGATCACACTGCCGGAGCGCTGGCTGCACGGCCAGGGCTGAGATGAGGAGGCTGACCTTCCATGAGCTCACGCTGCTGGAGAAGCTGGCATTGACACAGACAGGGCACTGCTGGGAGGAAGCTCACAGGGATGGGATGCAGGTTGGCATAACAACCGTGACTGTGGGCTGGCCAGTGTATTATTTCCAACAGACATTAGCCAGCTGGACACATGGAAGGTCCTTGAGACTGAGGAGGAGAGCAGGACCACTGGGGAATGTGGGGAGATGGGGGGAGGGATTTAAACATGGGGGTCAGAGACAGGGAGACAGAAAAGAGGGGGTTTACTTCTGAGCACACCCCAGACACCTCTTTAGGGTGTTGTTCTCCGACAGGCGGCTGTGAAAGCCCAGCCCTGCCTGGGGGCTGAGAGCATACCACCTCCAGGAAAGCTGCCGGGACAGGGGCTGCTTACCCGTGAGCAGCTGGAGGTCAGGCAGAGGCTCAGAAAGGACGCCGCGGCACTGCTCCTCCACGGGCAGCGGAATCACCATTAGCGCGTCGGCCAGCTGGGGGAAGTCCTTGATGAAGTTATTCTCCCTGAAGAAAGAAAAAAAGAAAATTCCAAAGCAACGATGCAGGGGACCTCCTGGCGGCGAGGCTGAGCGGCTGGCGGCAGGGCTCTGTGGGAGACAGGCACACACCCAGGGATGGATGGGGTGTGGGCACGTGGTGGCTGTTGCTCCCACTGAAGTCCCATGGGGCACGGATCTGCGGACGGAACTGAATCCCCGAGATCCAACCTACAGCGTGTGATGGGGTTTTCATTCCTCACCTCGTCCTGTCCCCCTGGGGAGCCACTCTCCTCTGGAGCCCACAGCCGCCCCACCCCAACCAGGGACCGCAACACTCGGCCGACAGCCCAGACTTCAGCTGGCCACGGCACGTTCCTCAGAGGGCGCTGCTGTTGCCCCTTTTGCCCCAGAGGCAGTGCTGCTAAGACACGTCGCCATGGGGCAATTAACAGGGACCAATGGGGCTTGCGGGTGAGTCCCGGTTGAATCGTGAAGCACCTTAGTGTGCGCTAAGGAGGCACTAGCCATGCTTTCTGGGTGGGAGTGCACATGAGTTTAACGTAGCGATGGGGTCAAGCCAGCACCTGTCACCAGCACAAAGTTTGCATGAGGCTTTTTGTCATAATACCATGGTTTTAGGTCCCTGGACCTGCCCCATCCCCTCTGTGCCAAGCTGAACACCACAGCTCCTGATGGCTTACTGAAGAGCAGATAAAAGTGTCCACCTCTCCCCTAAATGCCTCCCCATTTCCACCCTCCGAAGCCCCACACTGCAGGGGTCACTAGGGAGTGCTACAAACCAGGTTCCACCCCTCCCTCTTAGTGGACGTAGTGTGGCCTACTGGATGGGTCACTTGTACAGGACTCAAGAGAGTTGGGGTCTAATCCCAGCTCTGTCACTGGCCTGCTGGGTGACGATAGGCAAGTCGTTTCCCTCTCTGTGCCTCAGTTTCCCCCTCTGTAAAATGAAGATCATGATACTGACTTCCTTGGTAAAGCCCTCTGAGATCTACAGATGAAAATGCTACAGGACAGCCAGGCATTATTATTCTGCAGGCCCGGGGATCTCAGCGCTCTAGGCCAGATGCCCACAGACTTAGCATTGTTTTTGCACCTCTCAGCGGTAAGAAGCAGGTTTGGTGCTTGCAGGCGGCAGAGGAGAGTTCAGAGAGCCTCTGCCTGGAGCGACAGTTGCTGTCAGCCATGTCCTGGAACGCCCGCAGATGAATCCCGGCGGATGGAGACAGCTTTGAGATCCGACTCTCTCGCATGTGCTGCCATTCAGTTTCAATCCCACGTTTCCCTCCAAGGAAGGTGAGTCACTAATTAGTTCCCCTGGGGGCTGCTTCATTGTTATCCCTCTTAGCTTCCTGGCAGTGGCGATGATAGAAGAGTCTGCCTGTCAGGCCCGGGGATACATTCGCTGCTTCCGCTCTGGCGGTTTAGCTGTGCCGCAGCGGTGTAAGGTGTCAGACCGGGACACAGGCAATGGGGCAACTCCCCAGGGTTGGCCACCTTCCATTATCCACCTCTCCTCGATGGTCACAAAGAGCCAAATTCATCCCTGGTGCAACACCACTGCCTCTGATGCTGGTCCCCTGCGGGTTCTCATGCGTGAGAGACAGAGCCCTTGTTGGAGCAACAGAGGGGATAACAAAGTGGAACAGATGCAGCCCTTGGAGCCTCAGGGCAGATTCACTTAGCAGCACCTTCGACTCTTGTCCCTCACCCTTCTCTTTATTTTCCATGGCACCCCCTCCAGCTCTAAGTTCGCCCAACTCCCCAAAGCGGCCATCCATTCCCCCTCTCGATGGCGTGTCCACAGCTCTCCACACTCCCACAGGACCAAAGCCAAAGGCTCAGTGGGCTGCCGTGGCAAAGGCACATCAGTTTTCCTGGCCAGCGGTGCACAAGAGCATGGTGTGGCCACCACCACGACTGACCGCATCGGAGGGGATGTTCCAGGGGAAGAGCTAGTGAGACTCGAACTGACAACCTGGAGGGCTGTAATCAAGATCCTGAACAACCCAGGCACCACAGCTCCCCCTGCTGGTGCTGATCCAACATACCACAAGGCCCGACTCTCTTACATCCCCAGGTCCCTCCAAAAAGCCCCACTTGACCCTGGTCCAATCGGGGTTCCCATCCAAACCAGCCAATTCACCTTTAATTTCCTCTTGGATTTGGTCCAGTCTGCAACATGGGCCTTCTTTACCTGCTCCCCTCCCTGCTAACCTCCCCGAACCTGCTCTCCCTCCCCCCATGCTGTTTCACCCGAGGCAAAACCTCGTTCCTGAAGGAATCAGCCCTCCGGCCTCCTCACTCCAGCAGCTCCCCAGTCCGTTCCCAGTCTCAGCCAAAGAATGGGGGGTCCCTCCCTAGTCTCCACATCTGTGCCCCTTCTCCCCTTCTGCTGTTTTCCCTTACTGAACTCCACAAAGCGCTTTGGGAGAGACCGCTGATATGAAAGATGCTCCACCAAATACACTCATGTTGATCTGTGCAGGGCAGGAAAGGAGAGCCAACCGCAACTCCATGGAGTGCGGGGAGGAGGCAGTCACAAGCCCATTAGTGCAAGGTGAGGGAGGAAGCCCAGCCCGCTCTCTGCACCCAGGACCCATACTCTACCTCCTTTATCCCCCACTTGCCTCCAAGGGCTTCAAGTATCTCATGGCAGAGCTGAGCTACACAAATCGATCTCTTAGCCCTGAGGTCTATGCTCCCTGCAGACAGAGAGGACAAGTCTTCATGGCAAAGGGCAGGAGGAGGGGGCTGGGAAAGCTCTTGATCATTGTTGGGGATTTTTAAGGGCTGGTGCAGGTAGCGAGCCTGGCTACTGCTGACTCTGCCCTTGCTGGCTTGCTCAGGCCTCTGGAAAGCTACGGCTGTGACGAGTGACGTTTATATTCCTGGCTGATGGATGTTACTGGAAAGCACATGCTGCCCGCTGAAAACAGACAAGGCATGCTGCTGTGGTGACAAACACCACGGGGCTTTCTGGGAAACCCAGGGGCTGGGTTCTTTGGGAGCCATAACCGGGACCAGATTGTCAATGCAGCTCAGCTCCCAAAGTGCACGCCCTGGGAAACTGAAAACTTGGGTGCCAAGATGGGAGCTGAGCTGTCCTGCCAACCTGGACCCGACGGTGAGGGCTGGGGGACAGAGCCAGTGAAGTGCAGGGCAAGAGTCAGGATAATAAAGGGTATTGCACGACGGCGACAGGAACTGGGGTCTGGCTGTGGATTTAACAGCTGCTTGTGTTCTCAGCCGCCTTGCGTCCTGTTCATCAAAGGACCCAGCACCTTATTGCATCTCAGAGGTTTCGCTTCAAGCAACAACGACGTTTTACTGTTTGGGGGGCGGGAGAGATCTCTCTTTTCCTGTCACTCACACGCAGATCTAATATTGACCACACTCCGCTCCTGATCCCGGGTGGCTAAGGGGTGATTTGCCGTTCTCAGCCTTTCCCCGTCTTAGCAGTGCAAACGGGTTAGCAATTACTGCATCAGCCTCAAGCCTGGGTGGATGGGTAGAGACAGGGGAGGGAGAGAGGTTGCGGGCCTAGAGAGAGACGATCAATTTATTCAGCTTTCTTTCCAGCATGCAAGTACAGCCTCAGCATAGAGGGAAACCATGCCACAATGAAGCTAATTTCCAAGACAGCTGAAACCACACAGCACCATGAAATAACAGTGTTGGGCCAGGCCCTTTCCTAGTGCAGCTGCACTGAAGGCCATTTGCAGCGGCTTAGGCTCTGGTTTGTTTGTACCCATGACTAGCCATCACACCACTGGGGCTGAGGATTATTGGTGATGATGGGGCTGCTCAGCCCCCATGAGCACCTCTGCAAGGGAACCAAACTCCCGGGCAAGAGAAACACTTGTTGAAAGCTGAGCCGTGGAAGAGCAACATCTAAATGGATTTGGTCATTGCTCATGGAAAGGCTGCCTTGCAAACACCTTCCGGAGCTGAGCGTTTTATCTCCCCATGTGCGGCCTGTTTCATTCTCCATTGACTCTGGTTTAATGCTGGCTGCCTCTCCCACTCCTTTCGCTGATAGCGAGCTCAGCATGGGAGACACAGAGTTCTCTGCCCTCTTGGCTAGCAGAGGAAAGTCTGTGGCATGAGCTGCCTCATGTGTTCAGAAAATCAGCTCTCCCCTGGCAGCAGCGAGCGTACCGAGGGGGCCATGCATGTCTGGGTAATGTGCTAGCCTAGGTGCATTAAATACCGAGAGTGGCACAGGCTTTGCCATACCAGATGTGAGCCCTGGTCCACATAAATCTGGTGTCCCGCCTCCAGCACCAGAGGAAACACAAATAAAGGAAAATGACTCCCCCCACAGCCTTCCCTACAAAATGCACCTAGTTAATTGTGCAAAGCTGTATAGCGGAGGATGATCATCCCTTATTCATGACTCAGACACATGTATGGCAACTGGGCAAATACTGATATCACTCTGCATGCATATTGCACTTCCAGTGACAATTATTTGTGCACTACACACACCATGTAATTATACAGAGCACACGTGGAGGGTTACACAGATGCAGCCAGAGGATCTGGGCACAACACCAACTTATTTGGTGTAAGAGTAGGATTTTGGCAAAACAACCGCTGGGTTGGAACGGGGTGGCAACCTGTGTGCCAGGGCAGCACCTGGGGAGAGAGAAAAAGAAAGCAGAGGCAACTTGGAGAGGGTAATCTGAATGCAATGGTTTCTAGCTGAGGCAGGGGATCTATAAAAAGATTTTCACTGAAGAGCTTTGGTCTGTAATGCAGGTTTTGTCCTGTAAGCAAGGAGCTAAAGAAAAGCAGGTCCAGCTGCATTGGTGGTTATGGTTGCAAGGGAAGGTGTGTGTGTCTGTGGTGTGTGGATTGTGCATTGATGTTGTTGTGCCCGTGCACGGTGGCGCGAATGGCCGCAATGCATGGCTACATCTGGCTGCTGTGTGTCTAAGTGGGCAGTTTTGATGATACATTCTTTGCTAGCTTTTCTGTAACTCCTCCCTCCTCTCTGCCCTC